ATCATAGGTTCTAATTATTTTGGACCCTTATTTGTAATAATTTTCAAATATCAGGCCTCTATCTGTAATTATTTTCAATTTGGGCCCTTATTTGTAATTATTTTCATTTTTTGGGCCCTTATCTGTAAATTCCCCTATATTTTATCTGTAATATTAGTACAAAACAAAACAAAAATTCTTTGTTTATTTTTTCAAGCCTGGTTTAGCTTTTTTAGCTAAACTTCTTGATAGTTCCATCTTCTAATACAATCTAGTCTTATCACAGTTATAAATATTCTTTAATAACCAGGAACTTAAAATATTTTGTAATTTACTGTGATATTCAGATAAACTTTCAAGTGGAGTGCTACTGGCTTCACCATGATAATTAAATTCACATAAACTAATTCAATTTTTAAAATTAGAAATCCAACTATCTGAAGCTTTAAAGTCTAAAATTCCTAAAAGATTAGCAAATTCTTGAGATTGTAAACTTAAAGTATAACCTGAAATAGTTAATTTAGCATCAAATGCACAATCATCTCATAATGATAAGGCTTTTTCAAGCTCAGAACATTTAGGAACCTGATTTCTTTGTGATTGAGCCTCATAACTATTAGAATCAAGATTAATCAATAGTCTGATTTTCTTAAAATATCTCTTACAGAATTCTTACTAATGTGATATTGATCTGCTAATTCATTATTAGTTAGTTTAGGATTACTTAATTTTGTTAGATATAAATTTTTTTTGATAACCCTTTAAAGTTGTTCTTTTTTTAGACATAATTTGTCTTAGATTAAAAAGAATTTATTAATTGTTTGTTTTTATTTTTTGAATTCATATTTAAAACTTAAATGAGTATAAATATTAAAAAAAATATATAAAACTATAACTATATATTTCTAATAAATATATTTATATATAATACTTTCAAAACTTTAAAATATATACAGTAAATTTAAAAATAATATAACAAATATTATATATAGTATATACTTGTACTTGTATCTAAAAGTATATTTTTGCTAAACTTTACATACATACCATATTTACTCAAAATAATGCACATAGGTGTTATTTTGAAAATTGCATTTCCTTAAAATAGCATAGTTGATTTCAAAATAATGCCCATGTGTGTCCCGAAATAACACACACCCCCATATGCTAATGTTAATAAATCACCTTGATGCTCACCATTGGTGATGTAAATTGGATCTATGCTTGAAATTATATGTGCAAACTGCATTAATAAAATATATTTAAAGAAATGATATTAATTATTATGAGTGTATACAAAATGTTATGTCTTAAGAAATATGTAAATAAGTATTTAGAGATAAATACTTATGCTCATAATTTTTTAAATTAATAAATCTTCTTTACACTCCCGTGATATTATCAATGTGTTAAAAACTTGGTGCGGTTAATTAAAGTCATGTCTAATCATGATATTTTACTTTAGCTTTACAGTGATGTAAAATTATAAACTTTAATATTTAAAGTTTCTGTTTACATATGTTAAAACATTCTTTAATTATCAGAAGGTACAACAATATTTATTTCTTTATTTGTATTTATATAAATTTAAGATATATCGATATTTATAAGAGCTTATTATATATTTAACCGAAATAATGTTTAAATTAAATATAATCAGATAACTAGAATTGTTATGTACTTATATCCTCAACAAGCAAAAAAAATTCTGAAAAAAAAAAATAGAAAGTTAAGTTATATTTAACTAATAGTAAGTAATTTCTTCACAAATTCATTCTCAATTCCTTCGTTAAATTCATCAGTACTAATTTCTTCATCAAATTCATCAGTACTAATTTCTTCATCAAATTCATTATAACCAACTTCATCAAATTCATCACTAATTGCTTTATCAAATTCACCAGCACCAATTTCTTTATCAAATTCATCATCACCACCAAATTTTTCACCAAATTCATCAGCAATTTCTTCATCAAATTCGTTGTCATCAATTTTTTC